GGGGGGGGGGGGGGAGAGAATAGCATGTGCTCCAGTGGAGGCGGAGATACAAAAGAGGACATGGTGATGAATAGGGGGCGCCCGTTAAGGGAACTAAACTCTAACATCACAGGACAGGCCTGAATTTTTTTTATTTATTTTTTTTATTTAACACGTATTCAAAGAAGTCATAATTCTCAAACAGGCTGTGGACCGTAACAATAACCTAGAAAGTTCTTTTTTTTTTTTTAACAAATTTTATTTAGATAACATTTTTTTTCTTCTGTGGCAACTAACTGAAGTCTCTTTTAAATGTGGCCTCTTAAAATAACAAAGGCAACACAGGAGAACTAAAGTGACTTTTACATTATCATATACTGTATATAAATATGTGTGTTGATAATTTTTAAAAATTTAAACCTGAAATTATCACAATAATTAAGATGTTTTTTTGTAGTTTTTTTTAATAAGCGCTAACAGAATTAACTCACCACTGGGGCCACATAAAAGCACTTAAATTCTATTTATACTATATATTAATGTGTGTGTGTGTCTATTGGGGTTGAGTGGGTGGGGGTGGGACACTGAATGGGTTAAGACAATGTACAACTGGAGGTGTATCTTTGAAGAGGACTTTTTATTGGTGTTAAATAAATTTGTTGAATTCAAATTTATTTAGAACATGGTTTCCCAACCTCGGGTTCAAAGTGGCATTTCAGGGGGTTCACATGACCATTTCAGGTATACAAAGTGGCATTTCAGGGGATGCAAAGGATCATTTCAGGGGGTTCAAAGTGGCATTTCAAGGGTTCAAGTGACATTTCAGGGGGTTCAGTGGCATTTCAAGGGTTCAAGTGACATTTCAGGGGGTTCAAAGTGGCATTTCAAGGGTTCAAAGTGACATTTCAGGGGGTTCAAAGTGGCATTTCAAGGGTTCAAGTGGCATTTCAGGGGGTTAAAAGTGGCATTTCAAGGGTTCAAGTGACATTTCAGGGGTTTAAAGTGGCATTTCAGGGGGTTCAAAGTGGCATTTCAAGGGTTCAAGTGGCATTTCATGGGGTTCAAAGTGGCATTTCAAGGGTTCAAGTGACATTTCAGGGGGTTCAAAGTGGCATTTCAAGGGTTTAAAGTGATATTTCAGGGGTTTAAAGTGGCATTTCAGGGGGTTCAAAGTGGCATTTCAAGAGTTCAAGTGACATTTCAGGGGGTTCAAAGTGGCATTTCAAGGGTTCAAAGTGACATTTCAGGAGGTTCGAGTAAAACCTTTCGTTATCAGAGAGTGGAAGTTTGGGGGGGGGGGTGTAAACGACTAAGTTGTCGCCAGTGCCTGTTTGATGGGGGGTAGAGTGGGCTTAAGATTGTAGAGTTTTTTTCTTTTTTTGTTGGTAGAGGGGAGGCGGTACAGTTTTTGGCAGTTCAAGGGTTCAAAGTGAGATTTCAGGAGGTTCGAGTAAAACCTTTCGTTATCAGAGAGTGGAAGTTTGGGGGGGGGGTGTAAACGACTAAGTTGTCGCCAGTGACTGTTTGATGAGGTGTAGAGTGGGCTTAAGATTGTAGAGTTTTTTTCTTTTTTTGTTGGTAGAGAGGAGGCGGTACAGTTTTCGATAAATTGAGATTATTTGCCAGTCTGTGCTGAGTTGATGGTTGAGGAAGGAAAGGGGAGTAATCGATATCTGCATACGTTCAAATTCTAGAACAACTTATAGATAAAGTATATAAAGTAACATACAATGTGAAAAAATATAAATATTATATAGTTTTAATTGAAAATGTAATAAATAATTATAAAAATCCATACAAATAGTAATTGATAAGAAATAATCAAAAATGATAACCAAAGTGACATCCGGAATAAAATAACGAAATAATATATAGTCATATTTTAAAAAATATTTAGCAAATTTTATCAATAAATTATGTCATCTATAAATCCAATGGCTTGTTAAAACTTGGTGTGATTTAGAGTGGGGCAGGGGACTTCCATA